GCTTAGGTCAGAAATGGCAAGAAAGTGATGAGAGGTGGCTTGCTAACTTGCAGAAGTTCTTCCTCTTGTGCAATTGGTGTAGGAAAGAAAAATGAAGCAAAAAGTATTTAACAAACTTCCCAATACATATTTGTAATGAGTTAGCATCACTCAAAGTTCAGGGCAACAACAGTGAAGTTTACCAAGACTGTATGAATTGTTCTTTGTCTTTCCTCCCCATGAGTTCCCTGGGCTCTTTTGGAAAAACAAACAATTGTAAGACTGCAGTAAATGTCTTTTCTCTCAAACGCTTCCCTGCGTTGCTTTGTTTTCTCTAGTTTTAAACAGAGGTTCAATTCATGTGTGCTATTGCCCACATCTGACAGGATCTAACTCATTCCTACTACGGAAGTAAAAAACAGGTAGAAAACCCTGCATATGTAGCATAATTCTGTCATCAATAAAAGCGAAGGTAGAGTTCTAACTAGACACTTATTAACTGGCTGAAAGAGAAACAGGATGATAGGAAGGTTTTCACCACTTGCTATCTTCCTTTCCGAGAAGACCATGTTCTGAAAATTCCTGTAACTCTGCTGGATACAAGAGATCGAAGTCTGCTGTGATGTCTCTTATTGAGAGAAATCAAGTGTATCGAAGAGCTCACAAGCTCTGTTATGGATGAATGCTTAAATTTCTTTAAAACAGAATGAAAAACTACCAAGAATTTGCAACCAACAAGGAGGAAAAGGGTACCCATCCCAAGGGTATTCTGAGGTAGCCAAAACATTTTAAAAAGGGTCATGCTGTAAACACATGAATATGTAGCTAAACTGAGTTTGCTTTTGCAAAGGAAATTAAAACCCACAGTAAAAGACTGTTAACTGAAGAAATAACAAGATAAGGAAAGGAATGGAGATGCAGTGAAGATGTAGCTGAAATAGAAGTATCTGGGTATGACAGAAAACCAAAATGAATATTTTGCCTCAGTTTTTTGGGGGGGCCTGGGGTGGAGATCATGTATAACATGGTACAGAGAACGGCTGCTCAGAGGTAATATAGGCACAATCTGCAAAAGAAACACTCAGAAAGCCACTGTGAATAAGGGGACCTATAGTCTCCATGCCAGATTTCTGAAAGAAATAGCACATGGAATACATATTCAGCAGAAAGTATTTTTAAGAAATGCCTCAAAATCATAAGAACTACAGTCTCAATATACATTTTCCACCTCTTATAAAATTAGGGAGCACAGGTTCCTCATTCACTGCTTCCATTAACATGAGAGTAGTAAAACCATTTTGAATAGAGGATGTGAACATTTTACCCTCTTCCTCCCCTCTGGAATCACAGCAGTTCACTTCTTTATCTTCCAATAAAAACAAAGATTTCAATAAACTTTGACTTGGTGAATTCTTTTCCACTGTTCTTGGTGTATTTTCTTAGGATGATTTTATTACTGCTTCAGCTATCAGTAGTTATTATTCATTTGAAGTCATTACCACTTTCCACTGTGTTTAATATCCTAATGGGATATTATTAGCTGTTACTTCAATTCAGCTGTCTCATATTCTTCAGCAAACTACACTTTCATATAGAAGCTCCTTTTTTTTAAAGGTTCTAGCATCAGTCTTAGCATTATGCAACATTTAATACGCATTGTCTCGAAAACCATCAACCTGTTTCCTTTGACTTTTATATATATATATATATCTGCTTAGAAATGTTGGACCAGATGATCCTTCAAGTCCCTTCCAACCTGGTATCTATGATTCTATGATATATTTCACATGGCAGAATTCTTGTCTTTAATTCTGTCTACCCTTATCTATTTCCATAACATCAATATTCTGATTAAACACTCTCTAGATAATGCTCAAATGTTCCTGTGCAAAATCAAGCTCCCAAAGCCTCTACAATTTAACCAAGATCAGATGCTTCAAGAGCCAAAGAAGGACTGAGGAATCTGGACATTAATAAGCAGATGCAGCTATATGCCCTGGATCAAGTATCTAATGATTTCAAATCAACAGCTACCACTGGATGAATTAATCCTTGTGAGTGAAACAATAAAAAGCATCTTAAGGGAAGCACCTTGCAGTTCCAGAGGCATTTCTGCTACAGCTCATCAGTGCAGCACACCTTCCGTTATTTAGCTGCTCTCAAGTGTTATTCACATTATACCTGCAGGACTAGAATGAATGTTTTATGTATCTATGGGTAAGCTTGGACGCTGAAAAGCATATCTGATAATTTGCATTAACAATAGTATTTGGCAGCATTTTACAGTTAGGAACTCTATTTTTAAAAGCATTCTCTCTGTAATTACATGCTTGAAATGCTTCCTGAGGAACTGATCTGGAGAGTTTCTGCTTTTACTTTGATGTTGAAAAATTGCCCCCTTGTGAATCAGTGTCCTTGTTCATTTACACTTCTCAATTATATTTTGATCAACAATTTCTTTCCCTGATTCAGTCTTGCAATCCCTTGTAATCAGCAATGCATTGTTCTTTGGCACTGTATCAGTAAGCCCCTATAAGTTGGCCACAGAACACCTTGGCTGCTGTGGTAACAGCATACATCTGAATAACCATCAGATTTACTAAAGCTTCTTACAGGCAGACTGAAACCAGCATTGTCTGGAATGTACCTAATTAGGAATGCAAATACATCCTTACTCAAAAAATGAATGCCAGGGTTTCCTCAGCACACTCTCTGTGCTGGCAGTCAGTATCTCTAAGGGATGGTGGAGTAGCTGACTATCATTTCACCAAACCTGAAAAAAACCTCTCATGACAGTGTCTGAATAATGGTATTCATTAAGTAGAAAGCTGCACATGTCCTTTTTTTTTTTTTTTTTATTTTTTTTTTTTTTTATTTTTTTGATCTCCTGTGCTTTTGTCAGGACTCTGCAGTTGCTGGGCTGTTGAGTATGTTCCAATACAGTTGGACACACTTCAAGCCACATTGATTTCTGAGGCAAACACATATATTGTTTAAGGACAAGGGAGGTTCAGTACAGGTGGAGGCAGGCTCTTATCCCAGTGGTCAGAACTTCTTCAATTCAAGAGGAGGAGGAGGAGGAGGAGAATGATCTGTTCTTTCCTACCCACAGGTTCAGATACAGCCAACAAGGTAATTTCTGATACTTTGTTTTTTCCTGCCTTGTCAAATTACACTTGCAAAGCAGAAGTGGAAGATAGCACTGATAGGAATCTTCATATTAATACTGTCTATTTAGGTGTTGTGCAATGACTTACAATTTTACAGATGCACTACGCACTTACATAGCAGACGTATACTGTGCACTTACTATGCATTACACATATGTACAGTCTCTTCAGATGAAAGTATTCCCTCTTCATACTTCAGAAAGAAGTACAGGGGATATAATAACCTTTCCTTTTCTGAGTGACTGCCCATATACATACACACATCACAGAGGAATGTAAGAATCTACACTGAGTTTCCTGCAGAGCAGTGTCTGCGTCTTCGTAGAAACTGACTGAAGCTTTGTTACACTCCTCAGTGCATTTCCCAAAAATGAAAAACTCCATAAAGAGTAGTCAGTCATGATCACCTGGAGTTCAAGCCCGAGAAGACTGAATCATACAGAAGATTCAGATCTCACTGTGGACCAGGTAGAAAACAACTTCATAATCTTAGAGAAAAAAAAAACCCCGAGTCCCTGAGTCACTAAGGGAAGGCAGGATGAGCAATGTAGGCACTGAATGAAGCTTAACTAACTTAGAAAAAAAATTAGATGTCCTAACCAAAACTCTTAGCCTATGTTCACTGAAACAGGAACTGACCAGAAGACCTAGCAGAGGATCAGCCTCGATCTGGTTTGTTTTGCCAGATAAACCCAACTCACAAACACCTCCTGCTATGGGCAAGATGTTGCGTGTTTCAGGATCTCTCTTCAGTACATAAACAATTTCGTAACAGACAACTGCAATAAGGATAAGACATTTTAAAGATTCCTACTGAAACTGTTTAACTTATACACTGCAATATGTTAAGGCTCACTAGTATTTTCCATATTAGAATCACAGAATGTTTTGGGTCGGAAGGGACCCCTAGAGGTCATCTAGTCCAACCCCCCTGCAGTGAGCAGGGACATCTTCAACCAGATCAGGTTGCTCAGAGCCCCGTCCAACCTGGCCTTGAATGTTTCCAGGGATGGGGCACCTACCACCTCTCTGGGCAACCTGTGCCAGTGTTTCACCACCCTCAGCATAAAAAAAGTCTTCCCTGTATCTAGTTTGAATCTACCCTCTTCTAGTTTAAAACCATTACCCCTTGTCCTATCACTACAGGCCCTGCTAAAAAGTCTGTCCCCATCTTTCTCATAAGCCCCTTTAAGTCCTTTGAAAAATGTATCTAGATTTTTGTAAGTATTTAATTTTATTTAAAACCAAAATTGCTAAACATATAGATATAGCAGCTCAGTTCTATCAAAATGGGATTTGTGGACTGAAGATACTTGGGGGATATTCTGCATCTGACAAAATTCTGTTTCAAATTTTAAAAATAAGGTATCCCGAAGCATCTTCTTGAACTTCAGGAAAAACACTAAGTACATTGATTGTGATTGCATAAGACTGACAGAAATCAGGCTGTTACAGTCTTCTGGTGTCAAGCTGACAAAACTTCAACAAGAGATTATCAGGACCATCTGAATATATGCTCTGCTCCTACATTCCACTAAATAAGGTTAAAGTTGAAGAGCCAAAAGCAGATTTGGGTTTGTAGTCACAGTTGATAATTAACGAAGTGAATTAAGATCTTTATCAACCTAATATAAATCAATATTTTTAAAGAACAAAACACATTTTTATGCAACATTCTCCCCTGGTACTCAAAGCAATTCTAACCTTCTTGAGTTATAATCATGTGTGTTTCATTGTAACCCTCATTTCCCCAATCAGTTCAATCTGGACATGGGCTTAGTGGCATTGTTCACATACACAGTTCTGAACTATCTTAGAAATGATTATTAAATGAACAAATAAAAAACTTACCCGAATCATCATGACTGAGCACCTGATGTTATGAATTGTATCATAGACCTTCTTAGAAATGTCCACAAACTGGTTATCATCAAACAGATGCACTGTGTTCTTGCTTAAGCTCTCCAATGCAGTATTTACTTGACTAATAAACTCTGGAATCACTATTTTAAAAAAAGAAAACACAAACAAAATTCAGTCAGCATAAAAAGGATAAAACATCTAATTTTTCTTTCTGGCAAATTGCCTCACATTGATTAGAACTATTTTTAAAAAACATTACAGTAATAACATGATTATTTTTAAGTGGGAACACATTTGTAATTTTTATCATGCAAATGCACTTGATGGGCACATAAGCTGTGGATGGTTATACAGTACAACAAAGAAGAATGAAGTTTTAAAAGGGGAGTCAGGGAAGCAGTTGTAAAAACTTGCCAGTGATTTCAATAGTAATTATACACAAACAATCAGGACGAATAACCTGGCTCAACATTGGAACCAATATTCAACAGACTCCAGCTATTTCAGAATTTGCTTTCAGTCTGAATGGAGACAAAACCACCAAAAGATTGATGCTTATTCTCCAAATTAGAAGTCCCACAGTTGTAACCTGGACTTACAAAGCCAGTCTACATTGTTGGATTGAATCAAACAAATTGTACATTTTGAGTCAGTTTGATATTAACGTGTGCTTTACCAAGAATGCCCTGGGAGTTTTCTTCTGGTGCTCCATGGCCCTATTTTGCATGGTGACCTGGTACCACTACATCTCCCTTGATCCTTCACATCAATTTGAAGCAAAGAAAACCCAGCACAGAATATAGAGTGAAGAGAGAATGCAGCTGGAATATCCATCACACTCAGAAGGACCTCAAACAAGTACAGATCAAATTCATTTGCAACAACTCCTTCCCTATCATTTGGAGACTGAAGACACAGAAAAAAATGGAAAGTAAAAGGATAGAATTCAACTTCTGTAATATTCAGTATGAGTAACATGTACCTCATGGAACAGAAGCTTTTTTCAGGTAATGTGTTGGTTTCAAATACAAGTGTTAACGTGCTCCATCCCTTCCTCCACAATTATGCGCTGTGTAATTCATGAATTCATACCACATGAAAGAACTACCAATTATTTGGTAGTTATTGGTAGCTACCAATAAAACTACCAATTTGGTAGCTACTAATTCCTTAAGTATGAATCATTTCAGGCAAATTTTGAAGTATATAATACATCTTTATGCAGACAAAGCTTCAAGTCAACAGACTCCTGAATGAGAAAACCCGGAAACATATACTTAATTTAAATATTAGGAAAGATGCCACAATAATGCTTTAACGCCTAACTTTACGTGGAGAAACCCACATAACCCTTAGAGACGCTTAAATTCACTCTTAAATTACAGCAACTTCACTGCCTTCAAGCTCAGATGTTTCTCTCTAGAGTGCAGTTACTTCATGTGTTAGTTCTCAGAAATAACAGACTTCATTTAATTCAGTGGTAGAGGGAAGGTTCATTTTCTTCTGTAAAATAGGTCTCCACAAGTGTGAGACAAGTAGATGCCATTTCATTTGAAAAATAGGGTATTTAAAATCCTTTCTTCCCCTTTCAGATTATCACTCGAATTACCTTGCTTTCTGCAAAGATCAGTGGGAAGAAGAAACTTCTTAAATGGTATGGAAAAAAGGTACATTTTTTCATTAGCAACCAAATGGAATAATTAGGGAGAGCAAGCACCTATTTATTTAGTGCTTTTTGAAATTGTTTCTTTTTTTAAAGAAACACAAATACACAATTTAAGAACATGATTTTTTTTTTTCCCCCTGTTAAACAAACACCTTGGTCCCTACACTATTAAAATAATTGCAAGTGTGGCAATTTTGAACTAAACAGTCACCTCATATATTTACATAAAATTAAACGTTGAGCTCTTCACATCTGTTGTAAAAAGGCAGCAAAGGAGAAAATAAGTTTCCAGGAATTCAAGATTTCTGTTGGTGTAGTCAAATCCATGAGGTGTTTTCCAAAGCCTCCTACGCCATCACTTCTCAGCTCATTGTACTTCACACGCTTTCACTTGCAGTGCTGTAACGCAGTCTCCCTGCTTACCAGCAGCGTTTTCAGTGGCTGCCAACTGCCTGCAGCCCTCTCCTTCTACAGGGCAGGATACTTCTCAGTTATCTATTCAGCCTCCATCCCGTGCTCCATCCTTATTCCACACACTTATTAGTGGCCTTTTTACAGCTCTGCCCAAGGCCAAACACATTATGACAGTGTATTTCTTTGTCTGAATGAATACATCACTTACGAAAAAGGATTTTATGCAAGTATGTACTCTATAGCTCATATGCTACTGGTGGAGTCAGTGCTAAACCACAGGCTGCACTTGATTATAGAAATATGATCTCAGAGGCTTCCCTTTGATAACATTTTTAAGATGGCTGCTTTTCATCAATATAATTTTTACACACAGACAATTAAAACACAAGACTAAACTGTAATTATAAACAACCTGTAATAATACCAATCTGTTAATGAAGTATAAAAATACACTTGGGCTATTACAAGGTTATCAAATAGTTCTTATTATTTGGTCATTTACCCTGTATCTGATGGGCTAATTCCCTCAAATCCAAGACTCCCTGCTTGACTGCACGCGATTTATTTAATTTCTGAGCTCCCAACAAAATGACTACTTAAAAAGAGGTTTTAGTGGATATATGAGTTCTTAGCCATGGATCACTGGCATCAAAAATACTTTACTTCATATACCTTGAAACAGTTCAGGTGTCGCTCCGAAACACTGCATTAAGTGGACTAGAATTACATTAATAATGTGCATCTTTGCTGTACTCTGCTTTTTTTTCTAGGCAACCTAAATGTAGAGAAGCGGATGCAGGTAAAAACAGGTTGGACAAGGTATTTTCAATCTTTCAAAAGCAAAGAAAAATTAAACAAGTTGTAAGTAAATGTAAATGTAAAATGAAGAATTGCGAGTGTTATACAACTGAGAAGTATTATTAGATTTGTGATTTTAATATTAACACATTTTTGAAGAAAACTTACAATTTGTATTTTTTTTTTGACACCCCCCCCCAAAAAAAAAATATGAGCAAATTTTTGCTTGATTCTGTCATCTTCAACCAAAACCAACTAATTCATTCTGTTTGTAGTTAAATAGCTGTCACAGTCCAGCTCTTAATTCAGAGGCTACCACATCTATATGTCATGATCACATTAAGTAATACAGAAAAGTAAACTTCACTGATCACTTTATTTCAATTAGCAACTCTGTTATTTTTAGTAACCAAATCAGGACAACAGCCTTTCAGCTTTGCAGAAGGCCAGTGACCACGGGTGAAAACATGAGCCATCCTACTCACACCTTCTAATGAATTTGTGTTATGTGATTAAGATCACTTCATCAGCGATCCAGATAGCTTGATATTGAAAAAGCAACAGTCTCCACAACTAGATGTCCACATGTATGCAACACTCACCTAAAGAATGCCTTAACAAAATGAATATAACAGACATGGCCAGACATGGCTTCCTAGAACTGACAAAAAAGAAGACCTTCCCCCCCCCGCCCAATTCAAAATGTTTATGGTTTTTAATTGGGTGGAGGGGAACCCCAACAAAACCCTGTTTCAATTATTTGACAAAGGGGGAAAAAACCCAAGAAGCACTGAAAATAGGACTATGGTACTCTGCCACCTCTGCAGGACAATCCCCAGGTTCCATCCCTTGTGCTTATGTTGCAATGATACAAGCAGGGTATGGTTCTCCCTCTCAGTTCCTCTCAACTTAGAATGCCACAGTTTCTCAGGGGATTTCAAGGGAGAGCAGATGTGGAGGATTACTGAATGCACATACACACAATTTATCTCAAGAAAAAGAATTCATGGTAAATAACTGAACTTTCACCTTCAGTGTTTATCTATATGTATAAACACTGTGAGCAACTTACTGTATGGTGTAAATAGACTGGAAAAAGGTTCAAGAGCTCCCACTAGAATGAAGACTCAAAAACTACCTTTCAAAGGCAACTTTGAAATGGAAATGAAAACACAGCGCCCAGATGAATGAATGAAGCTCTCTGTGGCAAACCTACAGGTCGTACCTACAGGTAGATTCTGCAAGACTGCCAAAGCTATTGCTTAAACTTAAGTTCAGTGACCTTTCGACACGGGAGAGGACTCTTTGTTGCGCAGTCAGCTATCCAGTGAGACATCTTCTAGGCTCAAATAAAAGAGCCACAGGACTGTTTGTTAGGAGATATGAAAACATGAGCAGCCTTCCTAAAAAGTTTGCCTTATCAATATACAAAAATACAGAATACCCAGAATGAATAAAAAGTTTCAACTAATGGAGCACTCAGAATGAAAATCACATGAAGGCGAGTATCTAAACTGAACTTCTAATATCCGAGTGAGTAAAGACTGAAGGAGAATGTAATGAGAACGGTGTAAGGAGGATTTGTTGTAAGAATGGGAATCTCCATCTTCCACAGTCAGCTGAAGTAATGGCTAAAAACAAAGACCTTTCTTTTTTTAAAAAAAAATGTGGGAGCGACTGGGTTAAAAAAATGGTTTTCCTCCTGAGGATAATAAAACCAGAAGTCAGTTGCTACTGATGAATTAGGATTCTAACAGTAGGAAAAATCCCCGTGAGAACTTCCAAAAGCCCACCAGATGAGAAAGTCTAAAAAGTAAGCAAAAGCCAAAAGCATGGTCATGTAGGGCCTAAAAAAATGTTGAATGAACCTAGTACGAAACTAGTATGATCACAGAAATAAATCAGATTTGCGGGCAGCCAAGTTAAAAGTGATGAGTGCAACCTAGACCTACGCCAAGCCACACGTTTCAACCACTAAGCCTTATACCTTCTTTCAGCACACTATGCCTTCTATTAATTAGCCGCCAGGCACGAAAGAGCAGCCCCACTAAAATCCTGAAAACCATCCACCATTTAGGCAGTAAGATGGCAAAAAACAGAGGCTCAGGTCTTCATAATGACCTCAGTTTGTTGCAAGAAGATGTGAATCACAGGAAGAGCTACAGGTCTTCAAACCAAGAGACACAGCAAGTCCTGAGACCAAAACTGTCTGGGTAATGCTGTAGCTCAAGGTACCAAAAATGCACTGTCTTCTGTCATCCA